GCCTTGCCCGCTATGGTTGCACCTCAAAGAAGAGAACTTGGCGTTGCCTGTGTTTGAATTTAATGTTTGAATTTCTGTGTGCCTCGCTCCCTTTGCTCACCATGAGGTCTGTGAGATTATCCGGGTTATTGTTTGTAACTGAAGTTTGCTCATTTCATTCCATATTTTGCTTTAGAGTTGCATAAACACTCCACAAGTCTTTCTCCATCCCACGGTTGAGGGACAGCTGTTTTCCCCCAGATTTCGGCAATTACAAGTAACACTGCCCTGGACATCCTCCTCGTGCTGCCTGGTGTGCGAGTGGGCACCCCTAGGGGTGGACCTGCCAGGGGGTGGGCACAGCATCCATTGCACCAGGCGCCGTCTCACCTTGTCCAAAGTGACTGCTCCTCCAACTGTCACTCTGGCCAGCAGTGACCGTCATCGCTCCCCCCTCCTCCCTGACACATGGGACTGTCTATCTTTTAAATTATCACCAGTCTTGACGTTTTACTGAATGAATGAATCAATGGCTAGAAATTTGATCATACCTGCCTCATTTCGCATACTGGGAATGCCCACGCCCACAGCCTGCTTTGAAGAGTCTAGAAGTTTCCAAGTGCCATCCTTCAGCAGGGTCTATTCAAGATCTGCCTATAACTATATCCCACCCCAAGGGCTACGGGTCCTCTGTAATAGACAGAAACCCGAGGCCCGGAGCAGGCACTGGGAGACCAGATGCCCAGCAGCCTCCCTAACAGACGGGACCTTCCTCCAACCAGCCCCACTTTGGACACCTCAAGTCCCTCCCCCTCTAGGGCCTGGAACCTCCTACTGCACAGGTGAGAGTCCCCAGGGACTGTGGGGCCAGGGGAGTGTGGGCCCCAGGGCCAGAGCTGGGCTTGCCCACGGTGAAGGCTGTTCTGGGCTGTCTGGGCCCCAGTACCCACTCTGAGCAGCTCTGGGCACAAGTGGCCCTGCAGAGGCCAGACACACAGAGCCTGGGCTGAGCTCGGCCTCCAGATAGAAGCTCTTTCTCCCATTGCCCTGACGCCTGGCACAGGCCCCCATCCATGTCCATCTCGCGCTTCTGCGCCCTCCCCCTGTCTGGACAGCGGCACCTTGGCTGTCGAGGGCCCGCCAGGGTGATGGACAAGAGAGCACGCTCCGCAAGGGGCCTGTGGTCCCTCCCCGAGAGCTATTCCTAGCCTGGGTGCCTCCCCACCCCCAGTCCTTCTGTTTGACCTGACCCCACAGCTGGGAATCGTTTGCTGGGGGTGGGGCAGCCCCTGGCTATATAAGCCTGGACCTAGGTGTCCCAGGCACCCTGGAGGTCCAGCCCCTCCACTGCTGACCCCTGCAACTCCAGCCTGGCCCCCAGCCAGTCCAGCAGTGATGGAAAAAACCACCTCCGAGGCCCCTGCCTGTGGTCCAGAGGAGACTGCGTCTGAGTCCGCCAAGGTGCCCGCCACGGAGCCCCCCGGAGAAGTGGCAGCATCAGAGTCCCCCGGGGAAGAGCAGACTCCCAAGCCACAGGAGCCTGCCTCACAGGCCCCCGCAGCCCCCACGGCCCCCGCAGCCACTAAGCCTGTACCCACAAGTGAAGGTGAACAGAGGCGGGGCAGGTGGAGGGGAGGCAGTCGTCGGGGGTGGAGGGGGGCTCTTGGCCACGAACCTCTTCGTCTCGCCCTGGCTCCTCCCCAGACATCCCCAGTGCTCCCCTGCTGCTGACCCTGGAGGATGTGAGCCACAGCTCCGTGACTGTGAGCTGGGAGCCCCCGGAGAGGCTAGGGAGGCTGGGCCTCCAGGGCTATGTGTTGGAGCTCTGCCGAGAGGGAGGTGAGTGCTGAGCTAAGTCCTGCGTACATCCAGGGGGGCGGGCGTGGAGGGCGGCAGGGACAAGTGCCAGACCCTGCAGTCCGTCAGTGTGGGTTGGACATGGAAAGAGGGGGTGCAAGCATTGGGCCCCTCAACCCACCCACTTACCACTTCCTGCTCCACCAGCGTACCTCTGAAGGCGGGGGAATACGCAAGGGACCTCAGGGGCCCCTTCGGCCTCAGCTCCGAGGAGCTTCTGGATAAAGAAGGGTGGGGGACACCGGGCCCTGCTCAGATGAGAGGGAGGGAGCTGCTCAGTCTCTGAGAAGCCTGCGGGGGAGGGCGCTGCAGGAGCGGAGAGGCGGTGTTAGAGTAAGAGGCAGTGAGGAGAGAGAGGGGATGGGGGTGCTCTGGCCACATCCCTGCTGCCACTGTCCGCCTCCATGGCCCCAGTTCAGCTTGGCCTCTGCCTTTGCCCCTACCTTGCTGTGTGACTTTGCAAATGTGTCCAGCTCTCTCTGGGCTTCAGCAATCACAACTCTGGCCACAATTTCAGGGCTCTAACATCAGGTGTCTTTAACACCATTTGACAAGAAGTCAGGGAAGGGGACAAGGGGGGAATAAGGCCCAGAGAGGGAGGTCTCTTCCCCAGACCACCAGCAGGAGGGAAGCCCTGTAGAGGGGGTGCCCATGGCCACACTGCAAAGACCTCACACTCCTGCCGTTCCCCTTAGCCTCGGAATGGGTGCCTGTGAACGCCCGGCCCATGATGGTGACCCAGCAGACCGTGCGGAACCTGGTTCTGGGGGACAAGTTCTTCCTGCGTGTGGCTGCAGTGAGCTCCGCGGGGGCTGGCCCCCCAGCCACGCTGGACCAGCCCGTCCACATCCAAGAGAGCGTTGGTAAAGCCCATCCTGGCCTTCCGCTCCCCAGCAACCCCCCTCCCCCACAGGCACCTTTTCTGCCGGAGAAATTGAGCCCAGTGGGCAGAGGGAGCTGGGCAGTCACTTCCCCC